CCTAGGACAATATCTATAAGGGTTTTTCCAAGATTTTCTTCTAGAATTCTTATGGTTTCATGTCTTAGATTTAAGTCTATTATCCATCTTGAATTAATTTTTGTGAGTGATGAGAGATATAGATCCTATTTCAATCTTCTACATGTGGTTATCCAATTTTCCCAGCACCATTTATTGAATAGGGATTCTTTTCCCCAGTGTATGTTGCTGTCTGCTTCGTCCAAGATCAGACGGCAATATGTGGATGGTTTTATATCTGGGTTCTTTGTTCTGTTCCATTGGTCTATGACTCTGTTTTTGTGCCAATACCATGCTGTTTTGGTTACTATAGCCTTGTAGTATAGCTTAAAGTCTGGTAAAGTGATGTCTCCAAATTTTTTCCTATTGCTTAAGTTTGTTTTGGCTATTTGGGCTCTTTTCTGGTTCTGAATGAAGTGTAGAATTATTTTTTTAGATCTGTGAAAAATGATCTTGGTATTATTTTGTCTGATACTAGTATAGCAACTCCAGCTCTCTTTTGGTTATTTGCATGGAATATCTTTTTTGATCCTTATACTTTCAACCTATTTGTGTCTTTGGAACTAGTAAGAGTCTCCTGTAGACAGCATATAGTTGGATCTTTTTTTTAAAAAATCAATTCTGCCAAATTGTGTCTTTTAATTAGAAAGTTTAATCCAGCCACATTTAATGCAATTACTGATAAGGGAGCACTTACTTCTGCTATTTTGCTATTTGTTTTCTATATATCATATATCTTTTGTTTTTCAATTCTTCCATTACTGCCTTCCTTTGTGTTTGATTTTTTGTGGTGTACCATGTTGATTCCTTTCTCATTCCTTTTCTGTATGTATTTTCTAGTTATTTTCTTAGTAGTTACCTGGGGATTACAATTAACCTCTTAAACTTATAACAACCTATTAATATTTTGAATTAAAACCATCTTAGCTTCAATATTTTAAAAAACTCTGCTCTTATACAATTCTGTCCCTCCTCTTTTATGTTCTTATTGTCACAAATGTCATCTTTATACATTGTGTGACCATTAACATAGATTTATAATGATTGTTTTATGCGTCTGTCATTTAAATCATATAAAAAAAGAGCTTCAAACCAAAAATACAATACTAGCTTTTCAATTTACTTATATAGATACCTATGCCAGTGTTCTTATTTTTTTTCACATGGCTTCAAACCACTATCTAGTATCCTTCATTTCTACTTGAAGGTCTCCCTTGAGAATTTCTTATATGGCAGGCCTACCAGAGGATGAACTTTCTAAGATTTGTTATCTGGGAAAGTTCTAAATTCTTCTTTACTTTTGAAGGATAGTTTTGTTGGATGTAGAATTTTTCATTGATAGTATTTTTTTTTTCAGCACTTTAAATATGTCATCCCACTGCTTTCTCACTTCCATGAGTTATGCTGAGAAATTGGCTGTCGATCTTGAGGATCTTTGTATGTGAGGAGTCACTTCTCTTTTGCTGCATTCAAGATTCCTTCTTTCAAAAAATATTTGTCTTTTGAAAGTTTGATTGTAATGTATCAGTGTGGATCTTTTTGTGTTTATTCTTCATGAAGTTTATTGAGCTTCTTGAATTCATAGATTCATTTCTTTTATCAAATTTGTGAAGTTTTCAGCCATTATTTCTTTAAATATTCTTTTCCCTTCTCTCTCTTTTTCTGGAGCTCCTGTTATGCATATGTGGTACCCTTGATGGTGTTTCATAGGTCTCTGAAGCTCTGTTCATTTTTATTCATTCTTTTTTCTTTCTGCTCCTCAGGTTGAATAATTTATATTGACCTATCTTCAAGTTTGATGATTCTTCTGAGTGCTCAAATCAGCTATTGAAATCTTCTAGTCAATTTTTCATTTCAGTTATTATACTTTTCAGCTCTGGAATTTTCATTTTGTTTCTTTTTATAATTTCTATCCTGTTATTGCTATTTTCTATTTGTTAAAACATCATTCTCTTGGTTTCCTTTAGCTCTTTGCTCATGGTTCCTTTAACTCTTTCAACACATTAATAATAGCTGACTTAATGTCTTTGACTACTAAGTCTAAGTGTTCCCTTCATGGACATTTTATATTAGTTGCTTTGCTCCATGTGCATGTGGCATATTTTCCCATTTCTTTGCAAGTTTCATACTTTTTTCTTTTGAAAACTGGACATTTTAGAAAATATTTAACAACTCTGATATCAGATTTTTCCACCCTCTAAGGTTTGTTGCCATTTTGGTTGTTGTTTTTTCTTGTTGCTGCTTGTTTGTTTTTGTTTTTGTTTTTTTTTTGCATGTCATCCTTGCACAGGGGCCATGCTAATCTTCTCCGTATCATTCCAATTTTAGTATATATGCTGCCAAAGCAAGCACTGCTTGTTTGTTTTTGAATGAATTTTCTGTACTAGTTCTATAGATCCTGATTCCTTACAGTGTTGTAGTGTGTTACCACAGTTCTCTGCTACCTTTTATTTTTTTTAAGTTCTTGTTTTTATTCTTAAGCTCTAGTTTTCTAGGGGTCACTCTTAGAACATAATATAGTGGTTAACTTATGATTGGTTAGAAGATTTCATTAAATGTTTTGCTAGTATGTCTTCTATCCTTTGCCACGGGGTTTTATGTGAGATATCATGCCTTCAGCCTTCAGGCAGTTTAAAAGGCCGCTTTTATTCCCTGCTTACACCGGACTTCAGGTTAGTCAGAGATGAGTGGGTGATGCCTTCTTTGCCAAGTCTTTCCTTGGCATGTGCACAGCCTTTTAAATCCCTTGGAATATGTTGAAGCTTTTCAAAATTCCCCATGGCAATTTTAGTTCTCAAGGATTTCCTTTTAAATTCTGGGCTAGGCTCTTGTTTGCCTCAACTGGCAGCATAGCCTTAGGCAGTTGAAATGTTGCCAGCAGTTTGCTATTGTTTTGATAATGCCCCAGGGGTATCCTCCCCCACCCCCCACCACACACTTGCTGAGCTGAGCTCTGAGGCAAACCAAATGGCCACCACATGCTGAGAATTGAGATTTTTCTGGGAGCTGCATGTTCAGACAAAACATTGACTATGTCCTAGGGATGGTTCTTTTAATGGAACTCCAAAAACAGTCAGTCCCTCCCAGATCTTTCCACTGTGTCCAAAGATGCTGGCTTTTGGCCTTTGCCATTAAGCTGGAGAGGGAGAGGTAATGGGAATAGCCCCAAGTTGAAACATCGCAGACACCCCACATTCTTACCAAAGTTGAGTAGTTTTTTCTTGATAGGTGATTTTCAGTTTCCTTTTTGGCTTTGGTTAATTGCATGCATATGTATATAATGCCATATATATAAAATGAGGAATTGACTCCTGTAATTATGGAGGTTCAAATTCCTTCTCCTCTATGGAGAGTCAAATTCCTTCTTCTTCTGCCTTTTTATTCTATTCAAGACCTCAATGGATTGGATGATGCCCACCCAAATTGGGGAGGACAAACTGGGTCCACTGATTCAAATGCTAGTCTTATATGGAAACACACTCATAGACACACTCAGAAATAGTGTTTAATCTGGGCACCCTGCCATGCCATCAAGTGGACATAGAAAACCATTACAGTTGTTTTACCCATATTTTTATTGTCTTAGAGGGACAGCAAACTCACCAAGTTCCTCATTCTGTCATTTCAAAAGCAGAACCTGAATTATATAATTTTAAGTCTTAAAAATGTTTTTGTAAGGCTTTTGAGATAGCAAATAAAGTTTTGCACCACTTTTATAAATTTCAGAGGGAATCTGGGGACACCAGATGCTAAACCACTGATTTTTTCTGATCCACCTCATTTTATAAGTTTATATAGATAGTTAATTTATTAGTTAAGATTTCCCTGATTAAATTTGCATACATGTCTTCCCCTATTTCTTTATCTACCATCACATCTCGATAGGGTGCTCCATGATTTTCATCTGAGATCCAAATATTTACTTCTAGA